TGAGATTCTTGGATTGAGTGTTCTCAGGCATCTAGATGGGTTTGCTGAAATCAACCTTCTCATTGACAAAAGTGGAAGGCTCATTTGAAACTCATCAACTCTTTGTCTGCCAGCAGGTTAGCCTTTGCTGCTCACTTCTACTCTGTAAAAAGTGAGGTTCAGTGTAACATGTGCCAAATCAAAAACAAATGGTGGTCTGATCTATCGAAGGAGATACAGACAGCTTATGATAAGAAAGGCACAAGGCATTTTATGGCCTGCTTCACCAGGCATATGGTCCAAAATGTACCTCAACTACACTACTCCTGGCAAAGGACAGAACCATCTTACTGAAGACTTCAGATGAAATTATGGGCTGTTCGAGATCTCTTTCACAATTCCTCCAATGTGGATGTTGCTGCAATAGATAGTGTCCCTCAGTTTGCCCTCCAGCCTGAACTTGACATGAATCCAACTCTTGAAAAAACAATTGCTTGCATAGGACAGATCAACACAAGCAAAACTCCCGGACTAGATGGTATTCCTGTTGAGCTATTGAATGTCCGCTGTGTGGTCCACTCTTTAATGTTAACTGTATGGAAGGTTGACCCAGTTGCTCGAGACTAGATAGATGCAACTCTGATTATGCTGTACAAAGGAAAGAGGAAGAAGTCAGACCAGTAATTATTGTGGTATTTCACTGCTAGAAGCAGTTGGAAAAGTGTTTGCAAGACTCTTGCTAAATCGTTTGGAGAAGCATATTTGTCCTGATGTCCTTCCTGAGTCCGAAGCTGGTGTTAGAGGTAGAAGAGGGACTGTAGACATGATATTCTCTGCTAAACAGATTGTAGAAAAATGTATTGAACAGTATCTGCCACTTTGTCAGATTTTGTTGACCTAACTAAAGCTGTCGCACAGAGAATCATGAGGCTCTCTGGAAGATGCTTGTAAAATTTGGCTGTACATCTGCTTTTCTTGAAAAGTTCAAGCAACTACATTGCTGTATGAAAGGTCATGTCAATTTCAAAGAAAAAAAAATGAAAGAATCATTTTTTTAAATTTATATTAGTATTTTATACTTTATATGTCTTTTTATTTATATTTTAAATTATGAATTTAAATTTCCAATGTAATATTTTAAATAGTTTATTTATTTTGTATGCCAAATATTTTTACTTCTTAGAAGGGTCTTTTATTTACATACTATGTTTAATTTTATTAAATATTTTAAATATTTTTTTATTAAATAATTTTTGTATTCATTTTTTCTCCTATTCATTTTTCTATTCTCTTCGCTTCTATTCTTTTTTTCTTCTTTTTCTTTGTTGTCTTTTAATCTTTCTTAACTCTTAACTTATACTATTGTAACCAAATGCATAATAATTACAACCATAATGAAACAACACTCAAAAACATAATAGGTAAAAATGTTAAACCCATTAATAATAATAAACAAGTTAAGCTCATCATATAAATATAAAAAATTTAAAACAATTGACCTCATAATCTCTAATAACCCTACAACCACACAACTAAATCCTCTACAAAAAACCAATGTAGTGTATCAATTTACATGCCCGTTCAGAGATTGTATCGCTGATGCTAATAATAAACCCACTACGTATATTGGTTTTACTACAACCACACTCTCTCATAGACTTACCTGTCACTTTTCTGATCTTAGTTTTATTAAACAACATTTCTTAGAAAAACATAGCCATATACATAATAATACTCACACAAAAACACAGTAAAAAAAACCTTCAGCTATTGGAGACTATCTACATTAAAACAAAGCAACCTGCACTCACCAAAATTACATTTTAAACTTGTCACAACACATTATATTGCATCTAGACATATGGTTCTGTTGTTCATATTTTGGCCTCTTGTGTGGTATGACATCATAGGACTTCATCTTGAACTTATGAACTGTGTCTGTTATTCTGCAACCGTTAGCATTGCATAGCAATCTTCTATGTCAACATAACAAAATATTATCTTTGATGGTGAATATCTTTGTTAAAATGGCTGTATAACCACTCTGAAGTGATGTGAGCTGAAAGCTTAGATCAAGGACCAACTTAATAAAAATATATCCAAATGTTGAACAATTTTTGCCTTTATTTTTACCTGAAATTAAAGCAAACATACAAACATTAGAACGGCATAATAGACATAATAGACATTCATTGTCTGTTATATTTAACAATATATCTTTAAATATATATATATATATATATATATATATATATATATATATATGTGTGTGTGTGTGTGTATAAAGGGTGTTCCAATAACTTGGACCAATTTTAAACTTAATTCACATTTAAAATCGGTCCACCCTTTAAATATGTATGTATGCATGTATGTATATATGAATGTAGATATGGACACACACAACACACACACACACATATATATGAATGTATGTATGCATGTATATATATATGTATTTATATATATAATAAGGTAAAAGTTCTGTTGGTATATAATCCAGGTGTATCCAATATGAAAATATTAGACCTGATCCTCAAAAAAGAGCTCAATGTATTTTATTTATACAGAGCAATATAATTAATAATCAAACAAATCCTCTTATCTCACATGGGGAATAGGCTATTTTGGCAGACGACAAAAGTGGTTGTCTATCTTTTCAAGCCTGGTGTAGAATGAAGTTCATGTCTGAAAGGTTAGAAGAAGTGGATTGTAGCAGTTAACTGTGAGGAATTGATATTGGAAGCTAAAGGATCAATCTAAACCTTAACTTGCAGAAAACACCTAATACAGAGGGTGGTAAGTGTGTGTCTTAAAGGGGAGAAGTTTTATTAAAAAAAAAACAGAATATTAACCTTATGATGACAAATTGGGAGTATTAGAAGAAAACATATTTTTAACTTAATTAAATTTTTTTTAATTTAAAATTAAAGAAGAAATTAAAAACAAACCCAAAAATAAGTTTAAAATATATATATATATATATATATATATATATATAATTAAACCTAAAGAGCCAGACAAACCTACCAAGGTTTCATCTAAGCCAATCGTCAGGGAGAGCTGGCGATCCGCTTAGGTGAATCCTTGGTAGGTTTGTCTGGCTCTTTAGGTTTAATTAAGTCTGCTCTATTTAACGTATTGAGCACTTTATTTAGTTATTTTGCTTACTCATATTGGGTTTTTTTTCTTTGGACTTTGGACTTGAATGCTAGATGATTATTTTCAGCTGATGTACATGTTCTTTGTTCTTTCTTTTTTTATACCTTTTTTTCCCTTTTTTATTGGTTTGATTATTTGCAAATCAAGATACCGAAGGTTTTCCAGACGAGTATAATTTCTTATACTTATAAGATTATTACTAGTATATATATATATATATATATATATATATATATATATATATATATATATATATATATATAAAGAGGCATAAGGAATTAATGGAAAGAGAGTTTGGGAGATATTCTAAGTAGAGGAAAGCTTATAAATTATAATTAATATAGTATAAAAGGTTTTAGAGGGGGATAGGAATACTTAAGGTAGCTAAATAAGGCAAAATTTCACTATAGGAATTAGAATTAATTTTTGATTATGTCAACATTTGATGAGTTAGAGGAGATGGCAGAGAGGGAGTGATTTTGGGTAGCTAATTAAGGCAAAACTATCTGATGGAAATTTGAATTTGTTTTTATGTCGACATTTAAACACTAATTCATTCCTCTGATTCAATAATTGGTTTTCGTTATTGAATTTTATTATTTTAATTTTTTCTTCTAAGCATAAATCATATCTGTCTCTAAAACTATTTGAAGTTTTTAAAGAACCTATAATTTTCCAAACTATCAGTGGGTTTAAATTTTTGTCCTTCAATTCCCAAAGTTTTTTGAAAGAGCTGTTTGGTGTTTAAGTTTAGGGTTAGAGAATGAGTTCTTATGGGTATAAAATATTTATTACCATTCCTCCAGGAAAATTCCAATGTAAACTTTTTTATTTTCCATATTTTTTTTGAGGAAATGATCGCTGGTAGTTTTTCATTTGTCCTCTACTGGTCAATTATCTTTTGATCTACAACTACAGAACGGTTAAGGTTTAGGTTGAACCTTTACCTTCCAATATCAATTCCTCACATTTATCTGCTACATCCTGCTTCCTCTCACCTTACAGACATGAACTTCATTTCACACTAGGTTGAAAAGACAGATGACCACTTTTGTCATCTGATAAAATAGCCTATTCCCCATATAAGGTAAAAGGATTTGTTTGATTATTGTGTGTGTATATATATATATATATATATATATATATATTTGAGTCTGTAAGCATTGATTTGGTTGGAGAATTGATCATTTATAATTGTGTCTGATCAACTTGGTTGGTGGCTCCTTTTTGGGAAGGTTACCTCTCTGCAGAGGATGCAATCAACATATTCTTGGACACACCAAGAAAGTAGTTGGTTCAGAGACAGGTTCACAGAGATTTCTTGTTTCTATTCATGTTTATAAGCATTTACTTGATTTGGGGATAGATAAATATTGCTAGTTTATATTTGAGTATATTTACTATTGGGGAATAAGTAACTATTAATCATTTATATTTGAGTTTAATCTCTAAGCATTTACTTTGTAGGTGTCCCTTTTTGGTAGAGTCTTACTCATTTCTAAAGAATGTAATCATTGTATTGTGTGCCCCCCACCCAGGGTAGATGTAATATGGGTACTTATGATCAGTTACAACATTTTTCAGTATAACTTGGAGATCATTACAACTGTAGTGAGTTCAATCTTCACTGAGTGCTCCACGCTTGTGGTCTTGTGCCAGACTAAGCTCCACATAGTCAGGAACAAGACCACAAGTATCTTATGGAGCAGTAACAAAATTTGTAGGTTCAAAATATTGTAAATTTTTATTAGTGAACCATAACTCTTCTTTCACATTCAACCGTTTTTTTTTAATGTTTTTGCTTTTATACTAGATATATTCACTGTCTTTTCAAATCTTCACTTTCTAATATTTTTCTGTAGTTCTTCGAGTTATCATTATTGGACCTCCTGCTTCAGGGAAATCAACTATTGCTAAAATGATATCTAATAAGTTAAACTTGGTCTGCATGAATTTGGATAATATTCTTGTTGATACTGCTGCTCATCTACAAGAAGAAGCCTTTACTTATCAAAGAGAAAGAAGAGTAAGTCATATACATTTGTTTTTATCATCTGATTTTCATTAATTTGGCTGTAAATCAGAATCACACAATTTTTATTAGGAATACACTGTCACATTTCATGTTTTATCAAAATATAAAATAAATACTTACTGATTTCTAAAAGTTTATTTGCTAAATGATGTCAATATATAAGTTGGCTTGCTCTGCATAGATGTAAACAAATGACAGCCATTTGTATTAAATATCCTGACTTTTGAAGTCTTAAATTAATAAACATTGATATTTAACATTGATTGTAAGACAGATTTGATGACTATACAGAAATGTTTAATAACTTTAGTGTTTGCAAAAAGTAAAACAATGCTGTAAACTGTAAGATGATGAGCAGATATCATTGAACAGTGAAGAAATTTGTTGAAAGGGGGAATGGTGAGGACCTTATCTTTAGCTGTGTCCTGTATCAAGAAAGAAGTTATATAAAATTTCTTATTCCTGATTATTTCTCATATGCAAATTCTCTCTCTCTCTATATATATATGGGGATTTAAAACAATATTTGTACTTTGTATTCAATTATTCAGATTCTAAAGTTTTGTGACATACACAAATGCTTAAAAAACATGTAGGAAAAGGATTTATTGAAGGATTTTTAAAACAAATTTGTTGCTATTTGCAGGAATTACCCGAGGATCTATTGTTGAAGATTATTATTGATAAGATTGATGGCGCTAAAATATTGTGTCGCATGAGGGGCTGGGTAATGGAGGGGTTATTGAAGTCCAAGTCAAGTATTCTGCAGCTGCAACAGAGAGGCATATATCCAAGCCATTGTAGTGAGTACTTTTGTTTTTAAAGTGGACGTAATGAAGTTGAAAAGATTGTATGTAAAAATAAATTTTAAAATAACTGCAATGTTTTTGATATTGAAAATAAATCTTGAATTTCCAATATATTTTTTCATTTTATGAATGTTTTCTCTTTTTCTTGGATAGGATGTGGAACTAAAAAGATTTGTTGCTCTTACCTTACAAATATTAAAGAATTGATTTCTTCAATACCTTAACCAGGTATTGAACTCACACTCTTTGGGTCCTGTCACTGGATCTAACCACCTGAAGAAGGCCAGAGCGTACATCAGCTGAAACCTTGTAATAAATATGGCGACAAAGATGAGCACAATAGTCCAAATAATGTAAATAGTGTACATAATACCTCATCTCAGAAATATAGACAGATCCCTGATATTTATCAGTCTATACATTTGTGGTATGCACTTCCCAAAAGCATGTGCAGGGAAGCACAGTGCCACTTCTCAATGTCTTAATTACTGCTTTACTCATTAGCCACATAATTAAGTATATGTGAACAAATGCAAATTTCTACTCAGTGAGTGACATGACAGCAATTTAAGAGATACAGACATTTAAACATGATCATAGTGAATTTCATTCTATATATGAGTATGGGAAGGAAAGGTAATTTAAGTGACTTTCAACGCAGAATAATCATAGTTTATTTCTTTTCTTACATCCTGGTTGTGAAAACTTTCTGATTGGTTAGTCAAACTATGACTTTGTTTGCCAGGTGATTTTTATTGTCTATCTAATTTCAGAAATGGAGAAATTTTTGTTCTCTTGTTATTTATTTCTCTGTCACCACAAAGTATTTTCGTACAAAAAATTCACCTTATTATTGTTACCAATTTGCTTTTTTCTCTTTGTATTTCTTTGAAAAAGTTTTTCTTATTTTTCTCAGTTTTTCTCAAGGCTCCAGACACAGTGTTGATTGAGAGGGCAGTTGGTAAACGAGTCGACCCTCGAGATGGAAGTAAGTAATCAATTGATGATCCAATCATTCTTCAAGATAATAATCCCCTTTTCCACTATAAAAAAGATTAACATTTAAAAATGGAGTAAGCTTGGTTTAGTTTGATACTGGTTCATATTAGTAGGGCAGTGAAAATGACCCGTGAGACAAACTTGTTAACTCTCACTTTAAAACAGGCACCCAATTGACATAATTTTGATATATTCTAAGCTTGCATAAATGTGGATAGGAAGACTGTTTTGTCAGTCCTACAATTGATGAGGTATGCTGGCCATAAATATTAGTACTTGAAATCCTGACTTTCTGGGCTTGAATACAGATTTCTGGCTCTAGTTGCAAATAAGTAAATATCTTTGTCAGCCACAAGGCATGCCTAAAGTTCTTGATAGCATTAAAAGTTTAAAAATATTTTACTCAAGATACAAAAATAGAAGAAAGCATAGAATTCATTCCTATGCATTTATAGCATTGACTTTTCTTAGATAAAACTCTAAATAATAACAAGGCTTGGTAAATTTTTTCCATTTTTCAACTGAAATTTGAGAAATTACTTGGTTGAGATTTATCAAATTAACTCTGCATGTGTGTGCATGAGAGAGAGAGAGAGTGAGCGAGCAAGAGCATTTTTATATTTAATGAGCTTTTTGGAATAATTCTTTCTCTTCCCCAGCTATATACCACACCACCTTTGACTGGCCTGCAAACTTAGAAATTCAGAGAAATTTGGTTACCATACCTGGTTGCAGTGAACCAGAGATGGTGAGGCAGCTACTGAAATATCATCGGACTATTGATGAAATAATTTTTTGCTTCCAACATATAACCAAGAAAATAAATGCAGATCAACCAAAAGCAGACATTTTTTCACAAGGTCAACAAAACTTCTATTTATCACTTTTGTTCTTTCTATTTTTGTCTTTTGTTTCAGTATTTATGATAAGTAGTGATTTGATTTTATTGGCATGATTGCATTAGTATTATTGTTTGTGTAAGTCTGACTCAGCAGAATTTATGGATATGCAAAAAAAGTCTTTTGTTCATAACTTTGAAAATAGTCATTAACATTCTAAATTTTGTTTGGATAATTGAACAATTGATGAAGAGATCTTTTGAAAACATTAATATAAAAAAAAAAAGAGGAGTTTGACCATACAAACAACATTTAGCATGCCACTAATAAAGTTGCATCACTTAATATCTATAGTAACAGAAAAAATGTGTTTATAAAGAAAATTAACTTATATTTGTAGTTAGTAATACATTAGTATCTGTCAAAATTTGCATAGAAAGTTTAAATTGTTATCTACATTTAATGAACATATAAGTTTTCAAAAAAATCTAATTAAGTTTTTAGGTTAAATGAGCCCATAATACATTAGAAATATATTAACACAGTTTTATTTTAATTTTTTTTTTGATGCATTAATACTTTTTTGTATTCTTTGCAAAAAGGATTCATTTTTCATTTGTATTTTTTGAAAAATATTTTTAAATAAGGTAAAATTAAAAACTATGTGAATCAAAATAATTATATCTTATTTGTAGCCAAATGTTTTCAGGCATTTAACAATTCTTTTTCTAGTTCCATTACATATGAAGATATTTATACAGCCATCCATGATGACTGAATTTGGTACAAGGCATTTTTAGCATGGTTTTTTCATGCATATTTGCAGAATAGATGAGGGTGTAAAAATTACTGAAGTAACCAAATAGTTTATCTTAAAAACCTGTGACTCTTGAAAAACTATTTGTTATTAATTTTTATTTGATAAATAATTATTAAAATATAACTTGTTTTTCCTCATTTATTTTATCACTTTAACCTCTGACCTTTCTTAGGAATTTGTTGTGTTTTAGAGTGTCAAACAAGGAGGTTACAAAACAAAAACAGAAATAAGGAAATTAGTTGGAAATAAACAAAATAATAAAAATGATTGTAAAATTTGTAATTGAGTTTGCATCCTTAAAATAAAAAACAAAAACTCTTGTCTTATAAATTATTTTTCTACTTTTCTTCTGCAATAGTTTTGTCATTTCTAAGCAGTAGCCCAAGATCAATGGCACCTCATAATCCCCGCATCATCTTGTTAGGCGCAATTGGAAGTGGCAGGAAGACACAAGCTGAATTGTTGGCCAAGAAATATCAATTAATAAATGGTAAATATTTCTCTTGATCTTAAAAATGCACATTAAAATTAAAACTGAGAAAAAATATCACAATTTTATGCTTGTCACTTTTTATTGGAGCTTGAATGAATTAGAAAAATATTTCTTTCCCATTTAAAGGCATTGGTGGGGGTATTTAAGAGAAAAATAATAAGTAAAATGAGAAGAGCTCTTCAGAATTTCTCTAAAATAATTAGAAACTCATGAACATATGACAAACAGCTAATGTTTGATTTCGTTTTTTCAAGCTGATACTAATAATTGTAAGAATTCAATCCTTAAAAAACAGAACCAAAATTCCTGCAATAATTTTGCTTGTTTTCATTTGCTATATATTTATTCTGTACATCATCAAGTTGTATTTTATAGCTTTGTGAATTGTATAATTCTTGTGTTGTCTTTGATTTTCAGTGTCCTGTAGTCAGTTGATAAAAGAGGCAATTGCAAAGGAAACAAAAATGGGTTCAGTGGCCCAAACTTATCTTGACAGACAAATGACAAGTAAGCTATGTTGATGCATTTCTGATCATATCCAAATTTAATTGTGTGCTTGATGAAATTATAAGTTTTTTTTAAAACTTCTTCTCCACAGTCCCTGATCTTGCTATCATGAATATTCTTAAAGAACGCCTCACAAGGCTGGATTGCATGACGTGTGGATGGGTTCTTCATGGCTTTCCCAGAAACCAGGTACAGGCTGAACAATTGGAAAAAGAAGGTCTTTTCCCTACGAGGTATGTACATTACAGTCTGATAGTTTATATAGCTGAACAAAAAGACTGCATCAAAACATTTATTTGTGATAAACTTACTGAGTAAGAGCCAAGTGATGATTGCATAACCAAAGAGAGACATTTTCTACTGATGATTGACAGACTATAATTTTTTTCTTTCTATTGAAGCTTTGAGCTTTGGTGGACACAGGTTTAGTGTCATTAAATGATCAACAACCAATGCTCATAATCCAAACACAGAATACTCACATATTGTATAATAAATCATACACTCAAGATCAATGTGGCTGATATAGTAATTGATTGAAAATTTTCTTTGTATTTTAGGGTGTTCTTTTTGGATGTGCCCCTGGATACAATTCTGGAAAGAGTAACAGAGAAACGGACTGACCCTCAAACAGGTCAGCAACATCACTTACACTTTAACCCTCCACTGACAGCTGAGGTAATGAAAAGGCTGTGTATAAACCCTAAACATGAACCAGATGTTGTGAAAGAAAAAGTTGCTGATTATCGTGCTTATGAGGAAGAGTTGTCAGATTTCTATCATGAAAATGGAGTCCATGTCAATGCAGATCAAGATTACTACACAGTGTTTGAAATCATCCAAAGTATTCTTGTTCATCCTGTTGTCAAGAAATTTTCAAATAAAACTTGATGTCTTTGATAAATGACACATGTAGATTTGATATCTACTCTATCCTCCAATCTAAAAAAAAAAAAAAAAAATTACCATTCATTATGAAGAATTTGAGTGAAAATTCTGGATTTGAATAAATAAGCCTTTCATGTCAAATAAATAAAAGAAATAGGATTTTGTTTGTTAAATAAAAGTTTTAATTAATGGCATTTTATGAATGATTTTATACAAAATAGAATTATGAACATCAGCAAATGTCTTTTTTGATTTTGTTTTGTTCAGTATTTTCGTGTGATTTCTTCCCTTGCTTTGCCTGTATTTTTTGGCAGTTTCTTTCCTGAATTATCCTCGAGATCCTTACTCCGATAATAATGAGGAGCCACTTCTAACAGCCACTGGTTTTCTATTTCAATCACCTGATAAAGAGAAAAAATAAGTCGGATATAAATCAAAACCTTCATTGACTTGTTATTGATAAATTACAAACTGAATGTTTAGCAAAAAGACATTCAGAAAATCTGTGTATGATATTCTTTCTTTGGGATTTGGGTTCATAAGAAGTTTTCATTTTTCAGGAGAATTAAACAGGTAAAGTAAAGGCTTATTTATTATTATGAAACAGATCAACTTAACTGCTATTAGCATTTCCAAGGCCAAATTAGGGAAGGTGTTGAATCAATCTTCCAAGTGGAAAAGGTTTGCCTACCTGGTTTTTAGCCGGGTTAGAAACAGATAAATGTATGGGTTTCTTTTATGAAATTTTTATAACATTCAGCAAATTATTTGTAAGTAACTTTAGCCAATTCTTTCTTGCATGGCTAAGTTACACATTTCATAGCTGACAAGTATTTTTATTTCAAAATAATTTATGATCAAATTTCAATAGTGTTTTCTCTTGCACAATGACCTTTTCAAGAATTTTTGCAATTTATTCATTTTGAATTTGATAGTCAAGACATTTCAACTTTGTTAACCAAGTGATAACTCTTCAAAATAGAAAGTATCACTGGTTGCTATTTCTGATTTGTACTTACTTGTCTCATGAATTCCTTAGTTGTTAATACAAGCTCATGATAGATAACCCATCGAGGATGGTTCTCAAACATGCTACTATTTGGATGAATCATCACAGTTTGTTGGTGCTTCACAGTTTTATAAGAGCCTGACTTGCTCAGCCGAGCTGTATGGTAGAAAAATCCAGCTGTGACTGCCTACAATAAACAAAACAATATTTTTTGAACAAAAGTTATTGCTAACAAATTTCTGATCAAACTATTAAGAATAATCTTTAAAAAATTCTAATTGTTTTAATTTACTTTTTTTCAAGGTATATATCACTGTTACAACTTAAAATCTTGAGCTTCATAATATTATATAAACAAAATTTAATAAAGCCAACTAATAATGTTTATTGAATTTAGTTTGACTTGTAAAACAAATCTTAATTAGTAACCATTGTTTACTAAACAACTGTAAATTTAAACAACTGTTTCCTGTTTACATTCTTGTATTCAGTGACTACTGTGATGTGTAGTAGTATTCATAAGTCACTCACAATTGCTACTGACAAATTCCCACCTTCCCTCATGACTACTCTGGTTTATATACAGTGTCTTTTGTCCATATGCAAATGATCACATTTACATTAATATATAATTACAACTCTCTTAAACAGAGAGCTTTTATGTCCTTGGTTGATCTTTTGCTTCTTCCACACTGTTCCATTTTTGCGATTTCCTTGCTCTACTTCTCCCTCTCCTTCCATAGATCTTTTTGTATTTCTGTGTATGGGAGACCTTAATTGGTCTTCATCAGACCTTTCCTAACTGTTTTGAAGATCTAGATTTTAATCCCTTTCATTTTTATCTGCTTTTGTTTGTATAGGCATATCCTGATTTATTTTCCTTATGATCATCCTTCTACATCTTCATCTCAGGATCTTATCTGATCAGCTCTCGTTTTTTAGTATTATAGCTGTATTATATCTTTTTTGTATTAGAAAATTTGCCTTTTCTGAACTTAACCCATTCTTTTTGTACCACATTTTTTCATTTATAGAATATGACATCGTTATGGGAACTCTGATTTGTCTTTCTATCAGTTTTGATGGGCTCTACAGTCTTCCCACGCATATTTTGATTCTGTCACTTAGAAGCAGACAGTAGAAAGATTTCTATTTCCTCTTTTTGCTACAAGCATACTTTTAGGCATGTTTTTTATGGTTTATACCATCCTTTCCACCAGATTGAGGCTGATATGGAAGTGTCTTGTAAGACATGTATCCTACCTGACATAGCCATGAATTGAGTTCTTCAGTGCAAAACAATGGTACATTATCAGATACCAGAATTTTGTGAACTCTATTTTTTGAAAAAATGATTCTTAATATATGTTTCACTGTAGAACTTATTTTGACTGACACACAAATTATTTCAGGCCATCCTGAAAAGGAATCTACTAATATTAAGGAAAGTCATTCTCTATTGATGTACATGTTATCCATGTGAACTCTGCTCCATGTCTAACTCTCTCTGCCATGAATGTAATTTCCTTTGTGTTAAATTTCTTATTTCTTTAAATTTGGAACAACTTTTTGCATATTCTTCCACATCTGTTGAATATCCTGACCACCATGCTTCTAACTTTAGCCACTTATTTGAGTAGTGTCATCATGTACACTCTTTATTAAGATCTTTCTTTGTGTTTCTGGAGGTACCATCAAATTGCTGTTGCAAATTACTCCCTTCTCTACTGTCAGTTTGTAGGTTCTTTCTAATTTTCCATTTTATTCTACTGGGTCTTGTATAGTTCACTCAGCCATTTGCTCTAATGATAAAACATCAGTCTCTACCCAGTGTAGAAATATATCTTCAAATTTTTCAACTCCTTATAAAATCACAATCTTGATAGCATGCCCACATGTGGGATATTAAATTACTCTTGACATATTCTGTCAAAATCAAAGGCTATCAGTATTATTTCCCCCCTTAAAATCCTTGATGTTGTGACTTTAGGCAATTCTTTCCTCAAATTGAATAGAAATTCTAACAGTTTATGATCACATCTTAAGTTTTTTCCTCAATTAAAAATTAATGGGTTCTAGTGATGGCCAAAGCTTCATTTTTAATGTTTGAATAATTCAATTTAGCATTTGTCGACCTTCCTGATAGATAGATTAATGAATGTCCTTCTTGTGATAGTATTCCTGATATTGAATATTATCATTTGTAGTCAATGTTATATCTTTAATTGGATCAAATATTTTAACTACTGGCCTTTTAGCAAGAGTTTTGGTGAGTCTGAATTCTACATTAATTTTTCATAGTTTGGCAAATGGCTCAGTCATTTATGTATACCTTACTAAGTATTGTCTATAAAAATTAACTAATCCCAAAAAGGATTCCAGTTCTTTCTTATTTTCTTGTACCGATACTTTTATTATTTTTTCTATTAGTGCTTGATCCAGTGACACTTCATCTTTCAAAATGGAATATCCCAGAAACAATATTTCACTATTGTTGTGTACACATTTTTTTTTAAAATTTATTTTCATTCCTTAATCTGCTCAACACAATTTCAGTTTTCATTTTTTTTAGCCCTATTTCATTTCTGGCTCTTATGCATCTTAATAATACACAATATTTTCTATATTGTTGCCAATTACTTGTTCTATGGGCCTTTGAAAATAGCACTAGGTGTTTGTTTTTTTTTGTTTTTTTTCAGCATTCTTGTCCACTTTAATAAGCTATTGGTATGTTGATTGTTGTCATCTATATATATCTGGTGATAAGCTGTTTTCAAGTCTATTTTACTAAAGATTTTCATTTATGCTCAACATTTGGAATTGAGTATGAATCTGAGAAAACTTTATGGTTTACACCCATTTTATAATCATCACATCTATAATCATCTCCATCTGCTTTTCTCAAAATGACAATAAGCGATGACCATTTGTTGACACCAGGTGGAACATGTTCAAGTAATCCTTCTTTCATTAAATTTTTTAGTTCTGCTATTGCCAGTGAGACCAACTGTATCAAAAACTTCCTTGCTTGGTAGTAGCAGGAAGTGACATTTTCATTTAACATGAGACTTTCCTTAGAATTTTTTAGCATGCCAGTTTCTTCAGTTTCTTCTGCATTAACTAATTTGTGGAATGAAATTTGAGTACATTATTTCCAAGAGGTCCATGATGCTTATTGCAGATTGAAACAATTATGGGTATTATTTCAAATCTTTTGTCTTATTCATTGAATCCTTCAAAGTATCATAGCATTTTTAGAACTGAAACATGAAATTGTTGAAAACGTAGATAAGGCTTTCACAATTTTGTCTTTCCTAGTCGTTCCCCAAATTTTCTGGGAAGTAATACACTTCATTGCCTGTATCCATCTGCATATCTAAATTGGTTTTGTTTATTTTAACTTGCTTTAGAATGTTCTTTTATTTTTCTCTCTCATTTTCATGCCCAAACATCATAGCTCCCCTTAACACTACCAAGTCACCTCCATAGATACTTGACAAACCTCATATAGACCCATCACTAACTCAAAAAAACAAAACAAAACAAAAAAAAACACAGATAATGTCATAAATAGAAGCAAGTTTGTCAAATTAAATTGCAAATATTGAGCTGTATATACTGATGGCTCTAAAATCTCAAAGCAGGAGCAGTAGCCACAGATTCAGTAAAAACTCAAACAACCAGAAATTCATTATATTCCTGGACTCTGTCAAGTCTTGTAGCTGTGAACAAATGAGAATCCATACATCTTAGACATAATAGAAATCTACACTGAAATAGTTAAATCACAAAAATCAGTCAACTTAGCCTGGATTCCAAGTCATGTTGGTATACCAGGCAATGAAATAACAGACAAACTAGCTAAAGACAACAACCAACATAAAGATACTCTATAGAGACTTCAGAAACAAAATAAAAGAACATATCAAAAGAAAATAGCAAGCAAGATGGGACTCAAAACCTAACACTAATCAACTCTAGGAGAATGGATCCCTGATTTCAGGAAAATAGTTTTATCCAAGCTCCAAATAGAGTATACCTCTCTGACACACTTCTACTAAAAATATGAAACTCGTCCATCATGCAACAGATGTGAAGTACCTCCCACATCTGAACATATTCTCATTAAGTTGCCAAACAAAATATTATCAACCAAACAATACAAGAGAACTCTTTCAAAACACTGAACCAAACAATATCCTTAATTTCTTTAAGAAAATCAAACTTTATACCAAAATATAAAACTATAAAAACTCCCAAGAAAACTACATAAAACCATTAATATATTTTGATAACTGGAAAAAAAGGAAAAAGAACCCTTTAGATTTCATCCTTACTAAAAGTAGGTACCTCCACTGAATTTTCAATACCTAAGCTTTAAATTTTAAAAATGAAAAAACATTCTTGAAGATTTCATTCTAGTTTTAATTGAAAGCTAAATGATTAAATTCATTATTTCAAGTAAGTAAAATATTCTGGTGTATTTCATATAGAAATTATATAAACTGAAATGACAAATAATTGCTCAATTTTTTAATATTTTCTTAAAAGCAGCCATTTTCTTAATTTTTAAGAAATTTGTAAACAAACAAATTTATCAAGCTTTAAATTCTTTAAAAATTAAATTATAGATTTGTGACATGTTAGTTGAGTAAAATTAGAAAATTTAAAGTGTTATGGTCTGGTTCCTTGTACCACGGTGATAGTCCAAGGTAGAACCAATAAAGAAGAACTCAAACACAGGTATGGAATAACACAGGTATATTACAAACAGGAATATATACAGAGAAGTAGAAGTGTTAGTATGAACAATCAGGTTTAGTAGAGAGAACAATGTAGTCTCGACCAGTATCACTATTCCAATGTCTTGCAGTAATTGTCTGAACGCGAACTGTTTCGGAATTCTGTTTCTTGACTTGACTTGAACTACTGACTGACGACATGAACTCTTGACTTGACTTGAACTACTGACAATATTTATTGCTGTAAATTCAACAAATGTGGCACAAGGCCAAAAAGGGGGTTGGGAGAAGGATGGTCATCACTTGTCTTAATATAAAGCTTAGCTAGCCACAACCACTGACCCTATCATACAAAACAATATTCCTATCACCAAAAAACACATTTATCCATACCTTTCTTACTACATCCACCAAAATACCTCTTTGTCTCAATGAAAATCCTAAA